CTAAGAAGGACCCTGGCAATGGGCCCTGCTTTTCTTCCAGCTGAGTCAGGCCCTTGCTGGAGTGACAGGGGAATCCACTTTCTGCCTGAAGAGGTGGCCGCAGCAGAACTGCAGGCTGGGCAGGGCCTTCCTGCCTCCCTGGCCACGCACCCGGGCCTGGGCAGGCCTCTGCATGAGGCAGCCTCCTCGACCTTTCCTGTGAAGTTTTTATCGCTCAAACCCAGCCCTGCAAACTGAGCACCACCCAGGCTACAGAACCACTTTGCAGCCTGCCTGGCTTCCCGGGTCAGGGGGCATTTGGGCTGCGTATCCAGGGCCCCAGACGTTTATCCCATCACCCGCCACTCTGCCATGCTGTGTCTGCACCAAGACACTGAACCACGCAGCTTCGAGAGCCCCGCATACTGAGTAAACTCAGTTGGGCCTTTGCTTGGTTTGCTCTGAAGTCTGAGCCAGGGGATTTGCTTTCGTTGAAGGATGACCTATAGGCAGAGAAAATGTCACCAGCGGCTGGTTAGTGGCACTTCCTTATCCATGGCCAGTGGGCCTTGGGGATGACAGGGAGGGCAGATGCTGAGGCTCTATGGGCTCAGCCCTGCTGGTCGGGATTAGGTGACAGGTGTGGCTGGACTCAGCCCCTGAGGGGTGGGGGTGGGGGGATAGGGAGAGGAGGAGTGCAGGCCAGCTGGGTACTCATGGCTCTGGAGAGGACCCGTTGACCCAGTACTCTCAGCAGATGGGCTTGTCTTGGCCTCAGGAGGGCCCAGACAAAGCCAGAGTGGGGGAAGAAGAAAATCTGTTACAGAAGGAGGAGGTGGGAAGAGGCCAGCTGTAAAGCATCCTCCAACAGGCCTTTTGAGGGAAAATTCAAATCTGTGGGGCTATCAGATGACCCCTGCCTTCCAGGAGACACGTGAACCCGTTGCAATTCAGACCGTTCTTTGGCAGGGAGGACCCAGGGAATGTGACCGTCACTGCCAGGACAGAGCTATCTTCATCTCCTACAGGATCCTTCCCTGACATCTCCTTCAGCAACTTCAGGATCCTGTGCATATGGGCTCACCGTTCCCTGTCACTCCAGAACTTGCTTGTCGATCTCTAGCACCACAGCAAAACTTCACGAACTTCCTCATGAGGCCCAGGAAACTGCATTTTTAACCAACACCACCCCCCAAAGATGATTCTGGCATGTGCAGACTTGAGACTACACTTTGAGAACCATCTTGCCCTAGAACAGCCTCTCAAACAAAAATGTCATATGAACCACAAACGTAATTTTAAATTTTCTAGTAGCCACTTAAAAAGGTCAAAGAAAACAGGTGAAATTATTTTTAAAAGTATTTTTATTTAACCTGATAGATCCAAAATGTTATCATTTCAATATACAACCAATACAAAATTTGTTAATGAGATGTTTCACATTTTTTTCATACTGAGTCTTTGAGACCTGCTGCATACTTTACACTTACAACACATCTTAATTTGGACAGGCCACATTTCAAGTGCTCGACAGCCATGTGTAGCTAGTGACTGTGACACAGATGGAACAGCCCAGAGCTGTGTGGTGAGTATGAGCCACGGGTCAGCAGTTCCAGCATTGCCTAGGAGCTTGGTGGAAATGCAGGTTCTCAGGCCCCTGCCTGGACCTACTGAATCAGAACCCACATTTTCACCTATTGGCAGGTGCTTCAAATGCACGTTGAAGGTGTGAAGCCCTGCTCTACAGCTAGATTGTGAACTCCTTGGTGTAAAGACTACGATTTAACTTATTTCTAACATCTAACGGAGGGTCTGGCATCTGGAAGGCACATAGCAAATGTTTTTAGAGCAAAGGGATGAATGTGTGAATCCTGCCTGCCCCTACCCACTCCTGTTGGTCCCTCATTCCCTGTGCACTATTCGTGAGAATCTCAGAATCTGGGGTCTAAAGAACAATACAGGAGTTAGAACCTAACTCCTTTGAGCACCAACTTGGAAAAGTCCCACAGCTTGTTGGGTACAGCTGGCCACCCTCTTTTGGGACAAGAATGGTTGTTTTGTTTTGTTTTGTTTTAAGATTTTTAAAATTTATTTGAGATAGGGAGAGAGAGTGTGTGTGCACACGAGTCGGGGAGGGGAAGAGGCAGAGGGAGAAGCAGACTCCCCGCTAAGCAAGGAGCCCAATGCGGGGCTCGATCCCAGGACCCCGAGATCAAAGTCAGGTGCTTAACCAACTTAGCCACGCAGGTGCCCTAGGACCAGGGCGGTTTGATGAGGGCAGACCACTCCACAGCAGGACACTTTGCTGGGCCTGGCTTCCTTCTCAGACATCTCTGTACTCATCCTCAGAAATTCTGTGGAGCCATTGCTCAGAGATCTTACGCCTGGCTTATACATATTAGTTAGCCATTGATTTATTCTCAGTCTTCTTCCAGAGAAGATTTAAGGTGCCTCTAAATATGCATACATTCCAACAGAATGAAACAAAAATGGATCCATGCACAGATGCACGGATAGGGATGTTCACCCTAGCACTATTACATAGAGTAGAGAAAAGTCAGAAACAACCCAAAAATCCAACAGTAGGACAGTAGATAAATAAACTATGGCCCATCCAAACATTGACATTCCATGTCACAATTAGGAGTGCTAATATGGAAGTATTCACTGACATAGAAAATTGTTCATTACATAGTGTAAGAGTATTGATGAGCTCATTTTATTTACATGCATGGACGAATGTCTGGAAAGGATATATACCCCAAAAACATTAATGTCACTTTTTCCAGGGGAAGAATTATGAGTGATTCTTACTCTTTTTGTTCATCCACTGCTTCTGTAATTTCTGGCTTTCCCCTCAGAGAACATAAATTCTTATGTAATACAGAAATGAAGTGTACAAAACAGAATATGGGTGAGGAAAATGGGAAAAGGTGAAGACGGGAGTGCTATTCTGCATTGAATTTGTTTGAAAATGCATTAATTAAAAAAATATCCTAAGCACAAGTTCATAGTGTTATGGCCCAGTGGGTATATTTATATGAAGCAGGCAGTTATTAAATGTTTGAGAGATGGACTTACAACATTAGGGTTTGAAAACTCATGAGCCAGCTTTTGTTAAATTTCAGTCTGTACTCAGGAAGTGAAAGTTAATAATGGTGCAGTCTCTGCCTTGTTTTGAATCGAGTCCGACAATGACCCACCCTTCACGTGTGGGCTCTAAATAGCCTGTGCATGTTGGGTAATGATTGTGCAAGAGAGAACCCTAAAATCATGTGTTAGAGCTGGGTGGGTGGGTGGGTGGATGGGAATGCGTGCAGGTGCGCACTCACCCGTGAAACCTAGCGCAGGACTACCTTTCACCACCTTCAATGCCAGCTAGCACTTTGGTCCCAGCCTCCATCCTAGGCTCCTACTTGGTCTCCCTGCTTCCACCCTCCGGCCCATTCACGATGCTGAAGCTAAGCCATCCTCCCCGTGATGTGGCCCACGTCTCGGATCTCACTGCCTGCACCTCAGCCCTTGCTCACCCTGCTCCACAGCAGCTAGCCTGGCCTTTTCAAGCTCTTCTTGCACTTCCCATTTCCCTTGCTGGAACATTCTCTGCCCTCCTTGAGGCTTGCTTCCCCACCTCCTGTGGTCTCTGCTGAATTGCCATCTGATTCCTAAGTCCTTTCTCAGCATGCTGTACAAAGAAACAATCTCTGTTCTGCTCCAAAACCTTCCCCCACTTCGTTTTTCTTCATAGGTTTTTATCAATACATATTTATGTGTTTACTGTTTGTCCCCCTCCACTAGAATGTAAACTCCCTGAAAGCAGGGACTTTGTTGCTTTTCTTTCTTTTTTTTTTAAAGATTTTATTTATTTATGAGAGAGAGAGAGAGAGAGAGAGAGCACATGAGTGGGGGGAGGGGCAGAGGCAGAGGGAGAAGCAGACTCCGCGCTCAGCAAGGAGCCTGATGCAGGGCTCCATCCCAGGACGCTGGGATCATGACCTGAGCTGAAGGCAGACGTTTAACTGACTGAGCCACCCAGGCACACTTGTTGCTTTACTGCCATTTTCTTGGTGTTCAGTGCTCCAAGTAGGTGCTCAATAAATATTTGAAGGAATGGACTTCAGATATCATGTGACTGATCTTCCTCATTTGACCAAGGAGGTGCCAGAAGCCCTATAGAGAAAGCTTCCACGCCTTGCCCAGGGTCACACAGCTGGGGCAGCAGGGCTAGATCCTGCCCTGTCCATTCTGCTCCTGCTTCTGCCTGTGGCTTGGAAGGGAGATTAACCACACACACAGGGGCCATGGCCTCGTCCATCCTGTCTCCGGCGTGTTTTTCCAGCTTATACAGAATCTCAGCCCAGAATAGCAGAAGGAAAAAATAGTTGTTCCTCCAAAACCCTGGAAACTCTTCCGATGGGTCTGTCCCTGGAAAAACAGCAGCAATCTCCGGGTGGGAAGGTAGGAAATGGAGGAGGGGTCTTACAGCAGTGGGCGCGGTGGGCTGGGTTTGGTTTTACAATTAAAATAACATCTGGGTCTGTTTCTGCAGAGCGGTTCTGTAAGGTGGGTGGTCTGTCTGAAGTATCAGGTGGGGCCTTCCCCTGTCCTGGCCCAGGAGGGTGTGAGATGGCCAGTGGCTAAAGGGCTTACCCAGCAGATGACGTGTGAAGGAAGGTGGGCCCAAAGAAAGTTCTGGAAACCCCACCTGCGGAATGCCAGAAAGCCTGCTGGTCTCTCCCGAGGCCTCATGAGGGGGCATCTTCAGACACTCCCCACCCCGCCCCCGTGCCTCCACGCCTCCTTGAGATTGTTCAGACACCCCTTTGATGCGTCCAGAGCTCTGGCCTCCTCTCTCTCATGCCCCATGTGGTTTATTAATCATCTGTGAAATGAGGGGTTGAGGCGCCACTCATCCAGATGAGGGCAGTGGGCCCCTGAAGCAGTGGCGTGGAGTGGGGAAGGGACTCTGAGGGCTGTTCCAGTCTTCTGAATCCTATCCCTCTGTCTGTCTGGCTTCTCAGATGCAGCTTTTGGATAAGTTTCCCATTGAAGGTGGCCAGAAGGACCCCAAGCAGAGAATCATCCCCTTCCTTCCAGGTAAGCTTTGGATGGCCCCACTATTGGGATGGGAGGCAACCTGGGGAGAAGCATTTCTTAGGCCAAGAAAAGGCTGGCTGCTGGAAATTCTGGGCAGGGTGGGCCTACGAATCTACATCCTAACAACTCCCCAGAGAAGGGGAAGCCCCTGACTGTGAAGGCCACTGCCCCCACAGGGGCCTCTCCCACCATTCCCAGGCCACCTCTATTGGCCATGTAACTTCTAAGGAATTTCTTAGGCACTGGGACTTAGGCTTCCTCTTCACGGAAAGCACAGAGAGATCAAGTTCTTCTGTGAAAGGATGAAGAACTCCAGGATGAACTTTTCCCACTAATCCCACTGCAATCATAGACACCCTTAAATTGAGCACACGCCCCATGTCCGATTTTGGATCCTCCTGGCCCATTACCCAGCCGAGGCTCCGAGAGCTTACGTCTCACAGCCTGTGAGTTGGCAGGGTTAGGATTTGAACCCAGGTGTGTCTGGCAATAAGGGCCATTAACCACTACGCCATTTGGGAACATGTTTATAGCAATTGGTTATGTGTAATTTAGAGAAAAACTGCCCAGATGTGTCCTAATCTGCTATTGCTATGATGTTTTAAATTGGTGTACAGTTTATAGCTTACAAAGTGCTTTTTTGTTATCATATACAAATCTCCATGCTGAGGTGTGTATTCTAATTTCTGCTTGGGGGATGAAGATGTTGGAGTTCAGAGATGTCAGGTAACCACTCATAAAAGTGGCCAATCTGAGGTGTGAACCTTGGTCTTCTGCTCTAGTCTGGGCTCTTAGCCCTGAACCTGTGGGTGATGCTGCCTCCTGGCTTCGGATCCTCTGCCTTTCCCCAGGCCATGGAGCTGGGCCGGGTCACAGTGGGCCTCACCCCCATTATTGCTGGGCCCCGGCAATGGCAATCAGTGGGACCTTTGCAAGAAGCAGGGTCCTTGTCTCATTAACTCTCTGGCACACCTTCACCCCATGGTCAGCACCTGCTTGGTGACTTGCAAACACATATAGGGGCCCTGCCTTCAGAGAGTGGGTCCTCTCTGAAAGGTGCTCCTCACACACCCCCATCTGCTAAAGCGGGGAGAGACAAGAGCACACATTGCTGCCTGTTCTCTGAGTCTTATGCTAAAATTGGAGAGAATTACTTTAGTGACGAGGAAAAACTTCCATATCCCACAGTTTGGGCAAGATTGGAACCAGTCAGTGAGGGTATAGAGAATCTCACCCCTGTGCTTCTTCCATGAAGGCAGAGGACTACTTCTCCATCCCTGGCCTAGGACTTAATGTGGGGGGACTTTCATACCCTACCTGGCTTTGCACTGAGTCCTGAGGGAATTTGGAATGTCCAACACCCAGGTTTGTATGACCTTCAATGTTGCCCCGGTACAGTCCAGATGCTCTGCCCAGCAAGGGCTTGGGAGCCCAGCTGCGATGCTGTGGACACAAGTGTCCCAGAGCCAACATGAAGCCAGCATGGCGCCCTGGTATCAGGAGTGGACTTGGCCTTGGGGGCATGAAGGCTGCCTGTTACCTCGAGAATGATGGGCTTTTTCTCCCACTGGTGGCCAGTGCTCCAGGGAAATATCACCTCGTCATCATACGGACAGCGGGTATTTATGAGGGGCTCAGCCTGTGCCAGGCCTGGGACTCAGTACCTGGGGCTGGGGGCTGGGATGGCCTGGTGAGCCAAGGGGGGATGTAGATTTGTTTCCTTCATCTAAGGAATCCTCAAGCTACTAGGAGAGATGAGAGTCAAGACCTACTGCCTAATCAGGGAATCAATGAAGGCAGGATGTGACCCTCTCTACCACAGTGCAATTCTGAGTGTGTTTGGAGTGTGTCACTGTGGGCTGAGGAAGGCAGCAAAGACCTCCTGAAGGAGGGGCGCCTGGAGCTGACCTCCAAGGGCGGGAGGGCTTGGACCGTGCGGGGGAAGCACAAGGCTTCTGTCCTGCTGCTACCAAAGCCCAGCGTCTGGGGAATCACGCTGCCTGGTTTCCCCCCCCTTGCAAAGTCTGGCTTTTATCAAGTGCGTTACCTTCTTTGTGCCTCAGTGTTCTCATCTGGAAAATAGGGATGATAATAGTATCTACTTCATGGGGCTGTTGCCGGGATAAAACGAATTAATACATTTCAGGGGCTTAGAACTGTGGCTCGCCTCTAGCAGGACTTAAATAAATGTTAGCCCTTAAGGTGACCAATTCCTGACACGTGCCTAGTGTTTCACACAGCACGCTCACACATGTACTCTCATTTGCTCCTCCCAGTGAGGTTATTATCCCCATTTTACTGACTAGGAAACTGAGGCCAAGGGAGGCTAATAGACTTGCATGGGCCACACAGCCAGGAGGTGTAACCAGCACCAGAAACTCTGGCCAGGGCTTCCCATGAGCCATCTCAGGGGAGGATACCCCAACAGCTGCTGCAGGACTGGGGCCCTCTCTGAACTTCAGCTTCCTCTTACAGGCTTGTGGTGAGGATGAAAAGAATTCATGGGAAGCACTTTGCACAGTGCCCGTCGCATAGTAAGTGCTCAGTGAATGGCAGTTTTAATCAAGTCACCTGCCCCCATGCTGCCCCCAACTCCTGGGAAAGGCCAGCCCAGGACCCCCTCCAACCCTGACGTGATGGGACCTGGGCACAGTGTGTGATATTATAGAGAGGAAGGAGGTTGACTGGCCCCCATCCCATCCAAAGGAAGTTTCCTTTCCCCTGTTTTGCTGTTTTTCTCCTCTCCCCGCAGTGGGGTTTCTTCTCTGATGCTTCTCTCTTGCTCACTCACTTTCCAGGACTTCAGAGTGGGTGCTGCTGGCCATGTGGAATCCCACCCTGGGGGCTCCCAGGCCTGTTCCTGGTTTCCCCCTGCCCCCTAGAAACTTCCTAACCCTTTCATACTTTACTCACTCCCTCACTTGAACGGAAGGAAAATAGAAGCCAACAAGATCGGAACCAAGCTAGGGAGAGCCGCGTGGGCATGAGGGTTCCCAACCTGCCCTAAACCCGGGATCGAAGGGGATCCCCCAGGAGGAGGGGGGAAGGGAGAATGGCAATGATGAATGTTTCCTATCTTAGGTCAGGTTCCCTAAAAGCAGAGCCTGAGATGAGGATTCTTACACAAGTGACTTGGGGGGCCGCTCTCAGGTGAACATCCTAAGGCAGTGAGAGAAGCAGGACAGGGCAGGGGAAGAAGCCCAGGGTGGGCTCCAGGTTGTCCCATGGTAGGAGACACCTTCAGTACTCCCCATAGGTCATCCTTTGTCTGGAAGCCGCCCCTCCCCCAGAGGGCATGCAGTGTGGGCTGAAGGGCTTGAGGGCCTGCCTTTGGAGAAGGGGCAAGCCATGAGCCCCCAGCACCAAACACTCACAGCAGTGAGAGGTGGGAGCGTGTGCTGGTGAGGGGGTTCTGGGCCTCGGCCAACATCTCCTGGGTTATCTAACACCAGTTAAGTCTCTGTTCCTACCTACCTGCCTCTGGGAAGGGTGGCTGAGGTCACCTGCCGATTCCCTCAGGCTCAGCCCTGGCGGCGTGACTCAGCAGCACCTGAGTCAGCTGCCTTCGCTCTTAGAAGCTTCGGGAGAGCTAGCAACTGGCCTCGGGAACAGCTCTGCCAGCCCTTTGCCTTGCCTGGAATTTTGGAGCAAGGAACACCCAAGGGGAGAAAGCAGAGAGCGCCGATTATCTCCAGAAGGGTCTCAGTGTTAGCTTCAGAGGTGCCGGGATGTGATGAGCCTTACCGCGGCCTGGCATCTGGGGGATGTGTTTGGAGTATTACCCAGCTGCTTTGCTTTGGCCTGCCTGGCCACAGGCTTGGGCAGGGGGCTCATAGAAGTTTGACTGGCTGGTGGAAGTGATAGAGAAAAAGCAAAGGAACTAAGAGAAAAGAGGGAAACCAGGGCTTCATATGGTTACAAGCTCCCTCATCTGCCAGTCAAATCCTGGCCAAAAAAAAAAAAAAAAATCCCACATGTGAGCCATAAATCTTAGGATCTAGGACACAGACTTGCGGTACGTCTGGGTGGTGTCTGGCCTGAGTTCAGGGTCAGCCTGCCGGTTGGAAGAGTGGTGAGGGTCTGGGGCTTCTGTGGCCAAAGGCAGAGGGCCCATCCCAGAAGACTGAGGGTCCCGCAGGACGGCTGGAGTGGGGGTTGGGGCAAGGACAGCTGGGAGCAGGGTCAACAAGGTGAGGACAGAGAGCCAGTGCAAATGATCAGGCCAGTGGTCTGACATTTGCATATCAGTCGAATCCTGGATGAGGTTTATAGGGGAACTGTCCTCAGTGAGGGCCCCCCCCAACCCAGTTGTTTCCCCGGGTCTGAACCTGCTTTTGGGGCCTAGGGGTGAAGATCCACTATGCCCAGGCCCATCCGTGTGTTTGTGAGTCCAGCAGAGCCCACAGGAGGGACACGGAGGAGTTATGACCTTCATGTGGGACAGGTGCTTCTCTCCAGCAAGGCAGCTCTGGAAGGAAAACCCAAGTGGTTTTCAGGCAGGAAGAGGCAGAGAATTATGCCAGGGCCTGATGCCCCAGGCGTCGGGGGGAGGAGAGAAGGGGAAGGTACTCCGTCCTGTCTCACATTATGGGAGAGTGAGGCAGGTCCCCCCTGCTGTTTTTGCTGACCTTGGAGACAAGGCCCCTGTCTACTCCTCCCACATTTCTGTCACGGCGCTAGACACATAGTGGCTGTTTTATTAAGACCCCCTGGTTGATCACGAATTGGGCATTCTCCCTTAGGTATGAGCTCCCTTTTATTGAGCTCCTACTGTGTGTCTGGCCTTGTGCTGGACACTCTACAAACCTTTTCCCCAGTCCTCACTGCAGGATCGGGGGCATTATCCCATTTGAGAGAGAAGTCAAGTCACTTTCTCCCACCCCTGGGCCAGTAAGTGGTGGATCCGGTGTCCTTTCTCCACGGCCTGCACCTTTCCCTGGGCAGGAAGGAATTACCCCCGCCAGCCTCAGCTAGAAGCTTTCCTCCACCCACCCTGTTGC